GAGTGGCCGCTACTTGGCGGCCGGCGGGAGAGCGCGCGGGCCGGAGTCGGGCGGGGCCGGCGGCCCACCGGGAGCCACGGGGCTTCCGCCTCCTCTGCCGGGCTTGTGGGGGCTCTTGATGCATTCATTCCGCGCACAGCCCCGGAGCACTTACGTGCGTACGGACCTGAAGGGACCGCGGTGAACAGAACCGGCCCGGGCCAGGCCGTCGGGGCTCGCGGTCTAGTCACAGGGACAGACGACTGGGGAGGCCCTCCTAAACCGGGGTGCTGGGAGCGCTGGTTCACAGCGACGCTTCATGCCGGGAAAGCCCACTGGAGGGCGCCTGGCCAGGCCTGGGGTGGGGGGTGGTCAGGGAGGATTACTGGAGGTGAGGTGCTGGCTTCTCCTACAGGTCTGGGTAGGTAGAGGGTGCCGGTGGGGCTTGGGGTGGGTGGGGAGGAAGGGAAGATGAGGTGAGGCTGGGGAGGTGGGCACCGACAGGGCTTGCACTTCATTCTAAAAGCGATGAAAAAAAAAAAAAAAAACAGAGGAGAGAGGGGCACAGATTTGCATTTTAGGAAGAAGCTTCTGGCTCCTCTGTGGAGAAGGGATTGGAGAGGGCAGCCTGAAAGGGAGACCCCACATGAGACTGTTGAGTGATGATGGTAGTGAGCATAAAGATTAAAGACCACGTTGAGAACTCTTCAGATTGTAGAACTGAAGAGACAGAACAGGACTTGGAGACTGACTAGACATGATTGCCAGTCTTGGCCTGAAACAGGGAGCCCTGGAGGTGGAGCAGGTTGGAGATGGGGGTGGATGAGATCAGACTTGGACCTGGTGAGCAGGAGGTAGTAGCTAGCCAGCCAGGGGAGCCTACGTAGTAATCAACAACTAGTTACCATAAGGTGAGGGTTTAGGATGTGCGAGGCTCTGTACTAAGCACTTTTCTTGGATTACTTAATGCCATCCTCACAATAAACCTATGAGACAGGTGTTTCTATTACTCCCATTTTAAGCAGAGAAAACAGAAGAGTGAGGTGGCTTGTTGAAGAGCAATTGGTGAAACTGGTTAAGGGGGTCCAGAGCTCAGGGGAGAGGAGTGGAGTCTAGGGATAGAGGGTTCCTTGATAGCCCATGGAAGTCTCTGCAGTCCGACGCCCCCGAGAGGCTATGGGAGATAGTATGTTGAGCCAGGATGGTCTTACAGCTGCAGACATTGTGTGCCATTGAGTCAATTCCGACTCATAGCGACCCTATAGGACAGAACTGCTCCATAGGGTTTCTTAGGATGTAATCTTTACAGGAGCACATCGCCAGGTCTTTTCTCCCACAGAGCTCCTGGTGGATTTGAACCTCTTTCAGTGAGCATCCAAGTGCTTAACCATTGTGCCACCAGGGCTGTGGATGAGGATAGAATAGCCCCCAAAGGCTGAGGGTAGCCAAGGAGATCTATGGGAGTTTTGGGGTTTCTGGGTGTCTTCAGAATCTTCTGGAAGCCATAGGGTGCTGGCTAGATTGTGGAGATCTGGGGAGGGGTTGGTGTCCCTGGGTAATGGGCTTTAGGGGCTGTGTCTGGGGTCTTTAAGGAGTTATCACAGTGCATGAGGATATGGTGTACAGGCATCTGATGAAATCTGGGTAGTGGGCTGGAGTGGAGGGATTGGTTATAAAGCCCCTATAGATCCCAAGGGGTTGGGAAGATGTTGGGTAAGGTCAGTGTTGCCGGGCAGTAGGGGGTCTGTGGGAGGTTTCTGCTAGACTATAGGATCTGGGAAGACCCCTGTTCCTAGTGATACCTAATCATCTGGAAGTTAAGAAAACCCCCTTCATCTAATTCCCTTCCCCCATGGTAAGTGTTGGGGTGGCAACCTGGTCCCAAGAACTAGGCAGGTGACAAAGCTGCACAGTGACACCAGGACTGTCCAAAGCCACTTGACACGGCCCCAAACATGGACATATATTATGGGGAGTCGTATCTCAGGCCTGAGAAACAGCAAAGCCCCACACAGCACCCCCAGCCATACAACACACTCAGGCGTAAACACAGGATCCTACTTGGCCCACCTTTTGGAACATACAATGTACCCACAACAGCTTTCCTGTTCAGGCTCCTCACCTAATAGACAGGACAGATGGGGTCAGCAGGGTCCCACCCTGGATGATTCCCTCCAGTCAGACCAGCAGAAGCCTTCACCACAACCCCCAGGTCTTCTCATCCAGGAGGGTCCAAAAAATTTACTTCTTAGACTTATTGGCTAGGTTTCCAAAACAGGACAGGCAACTCTTCATCTTTGGCCCTGGAGTTCAGTGACTTCTAATTCTGGAGCCATGACCTGTGACCTTGTGGTTTGGTGGTCTCTGATCTTGGGATTCAGCCACGTGATCTGTCTTCAGCATTCCCAGGGCTCCCAGAGTGTTCCAAGGATGATCCACTTGAAGATGCCTTAAGAGGCATGGTCACCATTCCTAGGATTCCAGATGACCATCAGGGGAGTGGCAGGACTGGAACGGTCCTATACATAGCCCTGAGGTGTAGAAGTAGGATTTTTGGATGGAAGTTACAGGGAGTCAGAATTTGGCTAGACATGAATAAGACTTGTATAACAGAGCCATTCCCAAGGGAGTGGCTGCCTCAGGAGACAGTGAGCTATCACTGGGAATTGTGACACAGGCCACTCATCTTGGATACTGTCAGTGACTCACCAAGATGCCTTTTAAGGGCCCTCATGTTGGGACTTGCAGTCCTTATGGCAAAGGGAGGGGAAGATGAAGAGTTCCCGTGGGGGCCAGACTACTGAACCCAAGTGCCTTAGAGCTTGTTTTCTCTCACAAATACACACACCCACACCCTGGGCAAGGAAAGGTGGCGCTGGGACTGGCCAAACCCCCCCTCCCCCACTGGCTCTTGCCTCTCTCTGGGACGTCACCAAAGCCTGTCCCCTAGCACCCTGGCATCTGGACTCCCAGACCCATTAGTACTAGAGTCAGTGAGTCAGCAACCGGACCTGCTAGCATGAAACAGCTGGCCAGGACTATTAAAGGACTTTCAGGTCCACTGAGAGGGGCAAACAGAAGAGATTCTCTCTAGGACCCCAGAGATGACACCGTCCCCCATGTCACTTCCCACCCCAGCTGCCATCTTCAGGAAACCTTTGATCTCTCAGGTACCTCGTACACGGTGCTTTGTAGAGTAAGGGCTGGATATCTCCATCACTTTATCTTACCATATCTAACCCATCCTGTGAACTTCAAAGGTCCGAAAAAGAGGAATGCAATTGGCAGACGAAACTGTCTAGAAACCCCAGCCCTGCCCACGAAAACTAGATAAAATGCATTGGTGATGAAGGGGGAGGAATGGTGGCAGAGGGAATTTGCTGGAACCGGGAACAGAGGAACTGTGTAGAAAGCTCCTCAGGGTCAGAGACAACACTGGTGAAGGGGGGAACCACTGGGCACAGACTGGCATCCCTGACCCTTTCCCCCCTCCCCTCTCCAGCCAATCAAGAAACCAGGCAGCGGGGCTCTGGGGGCTGCTTTTATGGGGACGACCTGACAGAGGGCATGGTCCGTACAAAACCGGGAACAATACATACATATATATATTATATACAGAGACGCGGTCCCTCGGAAGGCGGGGCAGGGGCAGCCGCTGGCCGGGGAGACCGGAAGCGCCCGCGGCCCCACCCCCTCCATCAGCCGGGATGAAGGAGGTGAAGTGCCCGGGCCGGGCCGGCACCGAGACAGCCAGCTCTTCAGGGGGTGGGGAGCACGTCTGGGGGCCGAGACAGCCAGCTCTTCAGGGGGTGGGAAGCACGTCTGGGGGCAAGAATGGGGGGAGGCGCAAGAAATACTGATCGATGGCATGGTCTATTTACAAGGCAGGGGGAAGTCAAAACAGATCGGATGGAGTTGTCTGCTTTTAAAAAATGAACAAAACCCAAGGCTTGGGGCAGGAGGAAGGGGCAAAATGAGAGATGGATTCTGAAAGGGAAGGGGACCGGGGAGGGGGGGGAGTCTCACCTCCCTTGGTCTAAGCCCCAATTTGGGGTTCAAGTGGGGAAACAAGAGTTGATTTCACTTAGAAAGCAGGCTGCCAACGGCAGCCTTGGTCTCCCAAAATGAGTAGTAAAATTTTGCCCTCCAGTCAAACACTGGAAAATGGGTGGGGTGGGTGTGGGGTGAGGATGAATCTCTGCCATGTTAGTACAAGGCTTCCAGGTGTCTCCCTTGGCAAGGCAGAGCCTGGCTCTCCAGTGAGAAATGTTCTCCTTGCCTAAGACCAGGGTCTCTGCAGCCAGGCCCCCTAGGCTGACCCCCGCTCCTCCCTGGCATTCCCAGGCCTGGCCAGGGAACCTGGACCCTAGAGAGGCCACAGAACAGTTTCAGGAGGAGGTTATGGCTATTTGGCACCTGGGGGAGGGGAGGCACACGGACAAAGTGGGGGCTGCAGCCCCAGGAGAGGGGGAGCTGGGGACCAGGTGTCCCAGACTCTCCCTTTTACCTACTCTCACTCTCCTTTCCCAGAGAAGTGAGAAATCAGTGCAGGGCCAGAACCAGCCTCCAGGCTCTGGGGTGGACCCTACCCTTCCCGGGAGGGGAACAGAGACAGCAGGGTGTGTCGAGGCAACCCCCCCAAGCAGGAGGGTCAGAATGCAATAGAGACAGCACAATGATGGGGTGGAGGGGGACGGCCAAGAAGGTAGAGTCTCAAGTCAAGAGGCCCAGGAGCCCAGGGGGCAGGAAGCAGCCTCCAGTTGTCGAGATGCTGGGAGAGCCCCCAGCCCCATGCCAGTCCAGAGATAAAGGCTGGAGGTTGTAAAGTCTGGCAGTTTGGTCTGCAGGTCCTTGTGTCCATCCACCACCCAGGCCAGCCCCTGGCATCCCACAGCCTCTGTGTCTCAGCCCCATGGGGCAGGAAGGAGGCTGCCCTTCCAGCCACCTCTGTCTGCCCAAACCACCTTAAGGGGGCCTGTGGTGTGGGCCCTCTGGTCCCTGAAGCTGGGGGAGGTGGGGTGGAAGGGTGAGGGGAGTTGGGGCACCTGTCCCCAGGCTGGTAGGGGGCGGGGCAGAGTATTGAGGACAGGGGAGGGAAGACAACGGGAAAGGGTTGATTATTGTCCAGTCAGGGAATGTTCCTGTTAAGTAGAATTGGAATTCCTCAGTGTTTGCAGGTTTCCTTCCAGTTCTGAGATCTGGAAAACAAGGAGGGAGGGGGTCAGGCCTGGGCTAGGCACGGGCTCTACCCGCTCTGCCTCCCCACTGGTGACATGACCCTGAGCTCTAAGCCAGCAGCACGGCTCCTCCCCTCTCCCTCCAAGACCCACAAGATGGGTGCTAGATGGGGCTTACCTGCTGCTCTTTCCATAGGGCCCTGCCCCCGGGGGACCCCTGGGCCTACCTTGTCCAGGAGCTTGTCCATCTCCTCCTTCCTAGCCAACTCTGATTCCTCCAGAACCCGACGCTGGGCAGTCTCCTTTTTCAGGAACTCGATCTCCCTGGAGACAGTGGGTAGGGTGTGTGTCTGGTCTCTGTCCTGGGAGTCTCCAAGTCCTTGGCCCTGTCCTCAGCTTCGCCTGGGCAGCTCTGCCCCTTTCCTTATTCTCGGGTCGGAAGGCCCCAGGTCTCCGCAAAGCCTCTGGAACCTGGCCCTGTGCTGCCTCTGGCACCCAAGTCATTCTGGGCCCAGGCACCCCCACCATGGGGCCTTCTAGCTTCTGTGCTCCTTGTCTCCCTATGTGGTTAGGGGTGGGGAGGGGCTGCCACCAAAGGCCTTTCAATCCCCCCTGAGCTCCGTCCCAGGCTCCCAGGCCCCCACCCTACTCCCTAGCCACGTACTTCTGCTGGTAGTCCTTGATGAGGCGCTTGGCCTTGCTGTACTTGCGCTCCAAGGCCTGGTACTGGGCCTGGGTCTCCCGCAGGTGCTCATCCACAGCCTGGCACAGGCTCTGGGCCTCCCCCCAGTAGCCCTCCAGCTTCTCCATGCGCTCCTTGTTTTCCTCCACACTCTGCTCCAGCTGGGCCTTCTCCACCCGCCACCGCCCCTTCTCCTGCTCAAGGCTCTGCAGCTAAGAGAGGAAGGGGCGGCTCTGGGTTGGTGGGGGCCAGACGGAGCCAAGGGGTACCCCCATCCTGGCACTGGGGCCAGAGTCTCTAGGGGATTCCTGCGGATATGGAGCACCCCAACTACTAACTTCCCATGGCTAAGCATGAGGACTGAGGCCCACAGAGGGAAGAGATGTGACCTCAGGTTCAGAACTCCCAGCCAGGGTCAAGGACACTGCACCCAACTCCCAGGGAAGCAGGAGGCCCATGACGAGCTCTGTGACTTGGGGCAAGGCAAGCTCTGTCTTAAGCCTCAATTCTCCTATCTGTAAAATGGGAGTGATACGCATCTTGCCAACCTCACAAGGGCTACAGTGAGATGGTAGAATGAAAGAGCAGGGCAGCTGAGGGTCACCATTGTTCTCTGTCCCCTCTCTGACCAGTCCCTGCTCCTGTGGCTTCCTGAACAACCCTGGCTCCTCTCCCAGCTCCCAGGCCACCCCAGTGCAGTCCTCCCCACCCCAACAATGTAGTCCTGGATTTTCTGTTCTCTCTATACTCACTGCCCTGGGGTGGGGTCCTACCTCCCACACCACCTCTGTGCACTCTGAGCAAATCCTGAGCTGCAGCCCAACCTCGCTCCCACTCCAGCCTTGTCCCCCAGCTCCTCATAGGCACCATGCCCCAAACTGGGCCCCCCACCCTCACAAACCTCTGCTCCCTTTACTGACTTGCTCACTTCTGTTAAGACGCACCACCGTCATCCCACAGCTACCCCAGCAGCACTCAGCCTCAAGTCTCTGCCTGCCCTTCCAGATTTGTTTGCTGCAAAACCCCTTGCTCTCCGTGGCTCAGCCACAAAGGCCTTCCTACAGATCTTCAGATTTGCCACATGGCCTTTAAACATGCTGTTCCCTACCTGGAACGCCCCATCTACTGTGTCCCTTGCCTACTCATTGCCCACTAGCTCATCCTTCAGCTCTCTGCTCAGCACTTCCCCAGCACAGCCCCACCCTCACCCCGGCTGCACTGGGTTCCTTGGCTCTAGGAGCTCAGTAACCCCGTCCACTCTACAAAGCCCCATCCCCGTTTGTAACAATACAGCCACTGGTGTGCACAGACTGTAAACAAGGGCAAGGACCAAGTCTACTTTTGCCCAGCACAGTACCTGGACGGGTGGCAGGCACCTAGAAGGTTCCCAATAGATGTTTATAGATTGATAGCATGAAGTAACCTTGGACTTGCCCTGCCCCTTCATGCTCTGCATACACCCAAGAACACGGCCTGTCAAGCTGACCTCTGAAATGCAGCTCTAACCCACCCTTCCTTTCCATACCGTCTATACTCTAGGCAGTCCCGGGCCGCCCCTGCCAGGACACTACCCGGGCCTCTAACTGGCTTGCCTGCCTCCAAGTCCTGCCCATCCTCATGCCCTCTCTGCTTCCCAGGCAGTGACCTTCTGAAAACTCACATATGGCCACACAGCCCATGCTGTCCACAGGGCCAAGGCCAGAGTCCTCAGGGGCAGTCAGGACCCTTCAAGCCACAGCCCCCTGCAGTCCAGCCCTGCCTTCCACATCTCCCCGACAGAAACCTCTGCCATAGCCTGGCATGCCTCCTCACTGCCCCAAATCTAGCCTCCAAGCTTTTAAGCTCATCTCCCTGCCAGGAACGCCCCTTCTTCTGCCTCAGTTGTCTAGCCTGCTCTCCTTCCAAGGCTCAGCCTCACTCTCCTCTCTGTACACGTGTGGTGGGTGTATACCCACGTGTGGGTGTGTACACTTGCATGCACCTGGGGGCACTGTGTCTGGATGGTCCTGTGTACCCTCAGCCTGTCTCTCCCCATCGCACTGGAAGCCCCATGTCCAGGGTCCAGACCCCAGCAGGGGCCCAATTCAAATTTTTAACACGTAGTCTATGTATCTACATGCCTGTGCACATGCTGGCACCTAATGACCTTGTGTGGGTGTCAGTGCATGGCACATACGTGTATGTCACGTGTGTGTCACCATCTGGAGGTGTCAGTGTGAACACGTCTATGTTGCTTGCCCGGGTGACAATGTGCATGTCCCATGACACTCTTCCTGAGACCAGGTGGTCTGAATGATGGTCATGCCTGTGTGTCTGACAGCAGACCTGATTCAGAGTGGGTCTAGGGTCCAGGGTGATGCACCTGTGTATAATGTCACATAATTATATCTTTGCAGAGGTGTAGGTTCTGGGTGAGTGTGTACACTACGTGCCCGGGGTCCATGCAGCATGTGCCAGCATGCGCAACTCTGGATAGTTTGTATTCACTGCTGGGCCTATGTGTAGAGGACATCTGTAGGACAGTATGAAGAGTGTGACTTAGTGTGACTTCAGCAGAAGAGCTAATAGCTCAACTTACACTGTGCTAAGTACTTTACAGGTACTATCTCATTTCATCCTCACAAAGATCCTATGGTGTCAGTACTATCACTACCCCACTTTATAGACAAGGAGACTGAAGCACTGAGCAGCCAGTGAGTGGCAGAGCAGATGGGTCCAGAGCTTGAAGCTCTTCATCCTATGTTCTGTAGCCTCAGAGTGGCCTGTTCTGTATGTGCCAGTGGGTGGTGTAAGAGTGCCAGCATGTGCAGGTGTGAGGAGTCGAGGGAATTCTATCCTCCCAGCTCTCAGACCCCATTCCCCAACACACACACACACCCTCACCTTTCTTTTCAGCTGCTGGATCTCTGCCTCGGTCACAGCGTGCTTGATCTGCAGCTGTGGGGACAGAAGGGCAGGCACTTAGCTCCGGCTGGGGTAGACAGTACTGCAGGACAAGAGGCTGGTCTGCCCTCACCCTCCATACCCCAGGGATCCTCCTTGTCCCACCTCCTTGAACTTGTGCACCAGCTTCTCAGGCTCCATGTCCACAGGGGACAGTGCATCCTCATTCTCTGCTAGCTCGAACACCTCGATGGCCATCTCGCCACCCGGGAACGTGGGGCTCAGCTCCTCATCCTCATCAGTGGCATACTCTCCCGTCTGTGAAGGGAGACAGAAGGCTGTGGACCTGGCCCACGCTGTCCTCCTCCCACCCTCATGACCAGGACTTAGACCAGCAGCAGTCTGCCATTGTCAGACTGGGAGCTACCCAGGGGTGTGGTTCATGCCTCCTCCATCGGTCTAGGGCCTCCACCAGAGCCATGGTTTGATTCTTCCCCTAATAGCCCAGGGAGTTCCCTGAAGGTAGGAGTAGTTTTCCACATAGGACTGGGGACCCCTGAAGAAACAGCCTTCACTTCTCCCCTCACACTACGGGTCCTCTGAGGTCTGGAGCTGTCTATCTCCTCAGATTAGGTTCCCTGAGGTCCAGAGCTGTGCTTTCCCCTCAGAGTAGGGGCATCTTGAGGGAACAGTGTTTTCCTTGTAGGACCAGTAAGGCTCTCACAAAAAGATGTGGCTCCTTCAACAGACTAGAGCTTCTTTCAGGGAAGGGTCTGCATCTCCTCCCTTACACTGGGGGTTCCCTCAGGTAAGGGAAAGGTCTTTGGGTTTTTTACAGTGCCTTCACTTGGTAACAGTGAAGAGGACTTGAAGCACTTGCTGAGGAAGATCAAAGACTACATCCTTCAGTATGGATTATTCCTCAACATAAAGAAAACAAAAATCCTCACAATTGGACCAATAACCAATATCATGATAAACGGAGAAAATATTGAAGTTGTCAAGGATTACATTTTACTTGGATCCACAATCAATGCCCATGGAAGCATCAGTCAAGAAATCAAACGACACATTGCATTGGGCACATCTGCTGCAAAACACTTCTTTGAAGTGTTAAGAAGCAAAGCTGTCACCTTGAGGACTAAGGTGTGCCTGATTCAAGCCATGGTGTTTTCAATCTCCTCATATGCACGTGAAATCTGGACACTGAATAAGGAAGACCCAAGAAGAATTGATGCCTTTGAATTACGGTGTTGCAAAGAATATTGAATATACCATGGACTGCCGGAAGAATGAACAAATCTGTCTTGGAAGTAATACAGCCAGAATGCTCCTTAGAAGGAAGGATGGCAGGACTTTGTCTCACGTACTTTGGACATTTTATCAGGAGGGACTAGTACCTGGAGAAGGATATCATGCTTAGTAGAGGGTCAATGAAAGAGAGGATGACCCTCAACGAGACAGATTGATACAGTGGCTGCAACAATAGGCACAAACATAGCAATGATTGTGAGGATGGCGCAGGATCGGGCAGTGTTTCACTCTGTTGTACACAGGGTCGCTGTGAATCAGAACTGACTAGAGGGCACCTAACAACAAACAACACACTGCCTGAGAGAGTGGCAGAGGGTGGCTGCAGTGCCTCATCTAGCCACCAGGGGGCAATCACACGTCCCACCAGGCCTGGAGTCCCTACCTCCTCGTCATCCTCCGCATACTGGGCGTATCTCTGCTCCATCATCTCCCGCTGCCATCGCTCCTGTTCCAGGGTCTGTTGAATTAGCTGGGCCACTTCACTCTGCTCTCCCGGCCGCTCCCGGCCAATCATAAACCTGCAGGGGCACTGGCGTCATCTCACTGCCTCCTACCCTCAGCTGGGTAACTCCACCACCCTCGTGGTTGCTACTCCCCCAAACCCAGGCCCTCCCAGGGGAGATGAAATGAGAGGGCTGAGTCCAGAGGCTGCAGAGCGTTAATAATGAATGGGGGAGCTGGGGGCCCATACTGGGTTTCCTTCCCAGGGGAGGTGGGAAGGCCTACCAGCTCTCCTGGCCAGTTTTGGGAGAAAGAGGACGTCAGCTAAACTTTAGGCTGGGCTGCGGAGGACATAATTCAAGAGCATCCAGTATGGGGAGCTCATTCCCCCATCATGCAGGGGAGTGGTGGAGATGACCCAAACCAGCAGGGCTGGGCTGTGGAGGTGTGCCTTGGATGTGTTCCAAGCCTCTGAGCTTCAGGAAGGGGCAGGATGATGGTGACTACAGATTAGGATGGAGAGGAAATAGTGGAGCTTCCAGGCACAAGCCCCTCCTCCCCATGGCCACCCACATCCTGTTTCTCTCCACCACCCTTTCCTGGGGGCAGTGCCCCTCTTGGAGGGGGCAGGGGATGATCCCTGAATGTTATACAAGAGATGGAATGGACACAGGGAGCTTCTAATCCACCCCCCTCAGTTTGCATGCCCAGGGAGGAGAGAGTCTTCCCAGGATTTCCCAGGACTGGTGAGGAGGGAAGGATGAAGTTCTAGGTAAAGGGACCCCCAATGTGGATGGCAGTCTCCCTGCACATCTCAGTTCTTCACCAAATGAGCCAGGAGCAGGCAGGGGGAAAGGAGAAACATTTTCATCATATACGGGATAGCCCAAGTGAGCCATTTAGAGGGGGCGGTGGCTCTTGAGCCTGCCTTGACACTAGAGGGCTAGTGGCCAGCAGCAGTGGGAGAGAACTTGGATGGGAAGGCAGGCCTGGGGCAAAGGATTATGGGACAGAAATTCCTTCAGGCAAGGAGTCAGTGGAACCTCCCCTCCATGAGTTGGGCCACCCAGAATCTTGACTGGATGTGGGCAGGTGGGCAGAATGGCCACTGGGGGCTAAGCCTCCAGCCTCACCGCACTCGGCCTTTGGTGTTCCGGAGCACGGAGGCTGCAAAGCTCTGAGTCACTCCCACCAGACTTGTTCCATCCACCTCCACCAGGAGATCGTTCACCTGGATCCTAAGGGACGTAACGGTGATTATCGGGTCACAAGGGAAACTGTGGAGCTGGGGTAGAGGTGGCCCCCCTCCCACCAGAAACATGAGGCTTGGTCCCCACAGGGGTCTGGTGCTTTGTCCATCTACATAAAATGCATGAGGCCCGAGCCCACCTGTGTGGACAGTGAGACCCGGGCAAGGGAAGTGGACACAGGTATCCAAGACCAGGAGTGGTGGCAGGCATGCTTCCTGTCACAGTCACCTTGTGCCCTCCCCCATCACATCTGACACAGTGGTATGACATCCATAGAGCTCATCTCTGCCCATGCACACCTATGACACACAGCCCTTGTCCACATACATTTCAGCAAAGACCTGAGTCCGCAGACACCCTCCCAAATTCCTGAGATGCGTGCCACACAGACTCTCACGTTCACACACATTGTCCCACAGGGTCACCTCACCCTAATATAGGTGCACACTCCCCACACAGTCCAGCTGTGGTACCTGAAGCCCTTGCTCTCCATATAGGGAGGGGAACGGGGGTGGCCCAGTCTGGCCAGCTGAGGGGGGCTGAAGAAGAGTGGGGGTACCCTTGGCCATCTCCTTCCTCCACTCCTACCTACCTACTTCGGAGCACCAACCTCCTTGCAGGGCTCCCCCGCAGAAATGGAGGAGAAGGCCTATTGTAAACAGCGTATCCTACAAGTCCCACATTCCCACGTGGGGACGAGCTCACGGACACAACATCACGTGCACAAAGTCACATGTGTACACGCGCTCCCCAAACTACCAGGAGGCAACAATGGGAAAAGGTTCTGGAAAGTTCAAATCGAGGGCTTTGTAGGAGGTAAGTGAAGGGCAGTACTGTCACGTTTCCCTTTCCCTACCCAACCCCATGCCACCTGGGCTACAAAAGGCAGAAGCTCCCCGAATGAGGCAACTCCACCTCTCACAACATGACCCTAAAGCCATTCAGACCTCACAGAGACACTCGCTTACCTCTGTCACATGCAAGGTGTCTGGGTTTGAATGGTACCACCAACGGGTACCCCTGATGTCAACCTCCAACTCACAACAACCCTGGGGGATGCCCTAAAGCCTTGTCTCTTCATACCCTCCCCCCTACACACACACAATTCACATAGTAGAAGAACCAACAGAAAGGTCACTGGGGTGCCCAGGACTCCAGCTTGCCCTCCCTGCTCCTCTGACCCACAGCACTTACCCTCTTCCAGCCACAGGTGCTGAACACATGCACACACAGGCACGTCCACAAGAGCAGACCCATCTCAGAGCTTTTCTAGTTGCATCGCACACCTGGATACCTCTGCTCTTTCTGCTCCAGTCTGCCTGCTTCCGGCTCCCCTCCTAGAACCTCCTCCCCACCCCACTCCTTCAGCCTAACTCACTTCTGCTCAACCTTCAGATCTCAGTTGATCTTCCGCTGACTCCAAAAGTCACTTCCTCCAGGAAGCCTTCCCCAATGCTCAGACAGGCCAAGTCCTCCTGTTATATGCCCTGCAGTTTTCCTTTAAGTCGCCGTTTTCTTCGTCCACTTGTTTAATGTCTGTCTGCCTCACTACACTGCACACCTCCCCAGGGCAGGGTCCTCACCGCTGACTCCCCAGGCCTAGTGTCAGCCCAGTGACAGAGTCAGGGACTCAGTGGTTGCTAAATGAAAAAAAGAATGCTCAACTATTCTCCACGGCATGCAGGCTCCATGCCATACCACACGGCACCTACACACCCATCCTCACCATCCACTCTCTCCTAGAATGCAAGCACCATTGAGGGCAGGGGTTTCCATGTTTCCTTCACTGCTGTATCCCCAGGGGCTAGAATAACACCTGGCACAGTAGTGCTCCATGAATATCTGAACTCCCCACAGAGTACACAGGTCTCCTAGGTAATGGCCCATCCCCAGGCTGTGGCACATCCCACAGATGATAGCTGGTGGGGGGAGGGGAAGGGGGTTGAAAAGGGATGGGGATGGGGCAGTAGAAGGTGGTACCTGCCATCCCGGTGGGCCGCACCGCCCTCGGTCACAGTCTTGACAAAGATGCCCAGCTTCTCCAGACCCATGTCTGCCCCAGCCCCCATGCCGATGATGCTGATGCCCAGGCCCTCGGAGTCTGTGGAGCAGAGTGATGGTCAGATACCAGGGGCAGGGAGGGGAAAGTAGTCAAGGAGCTCCAGACCAGGGCTTGCAGGGGGTAGAGGGAGAGATCCTCCATCCTGCACCCCTCACTCCAGGGCACGGTCCCACATCAGGAAATAGCCCCCATGCTCAGGGGACGTCCCACAACTGGGAAAGGGACAAGGTTCTGTCCACCCCTTTTGCCAAGTCAACTAGGATGGCTCTTGAGTCACTCTCCGCCTTTTGTCCCGCCAGAGGAACTGACGGGCAACAGGGTCTGCTGAGCGTGGCAGGGGCCAGATGCTGTTGTATATACAGGTGAGGGTATGGGGTTGCAATGGAATGGTGGGCCGTGTGGCCATGATGGGGATGGGGTGGTGGTGGCCGTGATGGGGGTGGTGGGCTGTGTGGCCGTGATGGGGATGGGGTGGTGGTGGCCGTGATGGGGTTGGTGGGCTGTGTGGCTGTGATGGGGATAGGATGGCTGTGATGGGGGTGGTGGGCTGTGTGGCCATGATGGAGATGGGGTGGTGGTGGCCATGATGGGGGTGGTGGGCTGTGTGAACATGTTGGGGGTGGTGGGCTGTGTGGCTGTGATTGGGGATGGGGTGGCCATGATGGGGGTGGTGGGCTGCATAGCTATGATGCGGTGGTGGCTGTGATGGGCCTTGGTCCTAAGCCTTTTTTTCTTTTCCCATCCTAATCATTCTCATCCATACTCACAGCCTCACTGACCAAAGACCTCCTGATTTTCTCTCCTGAGGCCTACTCCCTTATACACACTTGCCCCTGCTTGGCCATTTCATGGGCCCCTGACATCCAAACTCATGATCTTCCCCCACAAACAGATCTGTCCACCACACCCTCACTGAGGATGGCACCAACACCCACACCAGCTGCCAGGCCTGGGCATCACCTGGATCCCTCCCTCCCTCTCACAGCCCCTGCTCCTGAGCCAAATAACCACCAGATCCTGTTGATCCTACCCCTGAATATCTCTCAACTCCCTCCACATCCCACACTGCCATCATCTCATCCACACCACAGTGATCTCTCTCCATCCACTTGTGCCCTCTACCCACTCCCCACACATAGCCTCAGGGATCTTTCTAGAACAGCCTTCTGCTGAGAGTGGCAGGGATCATAGGCTGTTGTGTATACAGGTGAGGGTGTGGGATTGGGATGGAGTTAGTGGGCTGTGTGGTCATGATGGGGATGGAATGGTCGTGACGGGGGTGGTGGACTGCATGGTCGTGATGGGGGTGGTGAGCTGCGAGGCTGTGACGGAGATAGGGCAGTGGCCACACCTCCCAATGGCTTCCAGTCCATCTTAGAAAAAAGACAATGTCCTTTAGATGGTCCACAGCTTCGTTTGCATACCCTTCTCCCCCTCACTGTCAGGCCCCAGGCAATCCCATGACCTCTTCTATGGGGCCTTGCTAAATGCAGCTTCCTCCACACAGGCCTCTCTTCTCCTCTGGCCCACATATCCTCCTAACTCCTCCCCTTCAGATCTCAACTCAAAATCACTTTCTGGGGAATCCTCACACCCAGTCTGGTCAGGTGTCTTGTTAAATGTCTTTATAGCAGCCCTGCCTTCCCTTACCAGCACCTGTCGGAGTGGGTAAGGATGTAGTTATATAGGACTGTTTAATCAGTGTCTGCCTTGCCCAGCAGTCTCCCTGAGGGCAGAAGACATGCTTATTTTTGCCCATTATTTTATCTCTAGGACATAGACCAGGACATGGCACATAAGTGCTCCAAAGATATTTGTTAGCTGGATGGACGAAGAATGTTCTATGACAGGGCTGATGGCAGGTGTGTGCTTGTGCTGGACTGGAGACCATGTGTGACTGTGGGGCATTGACAGGGGAGGAGGAAGACTGTCAAGGGGCCGTGCGAGAGGTAGAAGCCACAAATCTCTGTGGAAGCCCCCAAGGGCACAAGGCAAAGCTGGCGCCAGAGAGGAGGCCTGGGTCAACCCCATCTGTGCCCACCAGCCTGGCCTCTGGCCTCTCACCTTTCTCTAGCTCCACAGGAAACAGCTCCAACCTCTCCACCCGCTTCTCCAGCTCGTACTCAGCAGAGGCTGCCATGGGATCCACATCCTCGTTTCGACGATCATAGTCCTCGTTGGAGTAGGTGCTGAACACCTGTGGCGGGGGGGGGGGGCTTCTCAGAGAGGCCTGGGAGAGCAGGCCAAGCCACCTGCCCCATGCCCTTCTTCCCTCCTGCCATGTGCCTTCCCCGCCCACCCTAGACAGGCTGGAGAGGAGGCCTCATGCAGTCCTGTGATGACCCCAGCTCTGTGATCCTGGGCCAATCGCTGCTGCCATTGGGCCTCAGTGAAGGCCTTTTTAATTCTGGAGACAAGAGGCAAGAAAGAAAGGGAGCCAGCCTTGCCTGATCAGCACTGTTATTCTCTTCTGAGCCCTGACCAGCAAGAGTATGGCCTGTATAAAGGAAAACGAAGGGCAATCCTGCAGAAATGGTCAGACTCAGGAGCCCAGACACCCAGGCCAGAGAGAGACCAGCAGAGCGGGGCAGAGAGCCTGAGGTGGACACAGAGACACAAGCGGTGACAGCCAACAGCAGGAGAGAGGAAGGAACAGACTGAGCAGGAGAAGAAGGGAAAAGGAGGAGGGAAAAAAGGATGGGGAAGATGCTGGAGGATGCCAGCTGGGAAGAGAGAGGCAGCAGGTGTTAGACGTGGGGAGGGGGCCAGAGAACAGGGATGAAAGAGGCAGAGAGGCATCTGGGGGCTCAGCCCTGAACCTGAAGTCAGATGTTGGAGGTCGGGTAGGGACAGGAAGGAGCAACTTTACCCCCATGGAGAAGGGCAGGCCCTCCACCACTCGTGTCCTTCAGGCAGCAGAATCAAGGGAGAACACCAGGCCCCTAAGGCCTTCCCTGTAGGCCCAGGCCTGCGTCCCCAGGTTATGTCCACTCCCGCCCCACCCCCATGCACCAGGTGGCCCAGGCGGAGGTGCTAGAACCAGGGCCCTGGGGAAAGCAAGGAGGTCAGAGAGATGCAGCTTCCCCGACATTGTCCATAGCACACCCAGGCCCCATGGGGGCCCACGCCAGCCTGGTTGCCCCCATACCCCACCTCTCTGCTGTCTCCCAGTTCCTGCGTCTCATGCTGCAAAAAGGGGAATTCCCCTGCCCCCAGCCTCCCCTGAATTAGAGAGGGTAGGGCAGGGGCACTGTGGGAGTGCCTAATTCTAGGCCCAGGCAGGGGTGCCCCAGTGGGAGGCTAATGAGCACCGTTTAGGGCACCATGATGTGTTCGTGCTTCACTGCCTGCAGCGACAGGTTGGCACCAGTTGGAGCCAAGCGGGGACGAGGAGTAGGAAGCAGCTCCATCAGATGGTTGGGGCCTGAGGTCTAAGGAGGCACTGTCACCCTCCAGGCCCCTGCCCAGGGCCCCCTCTCCTCCAGGAGCAGGCCCATGGGCACCCCTGTCAGCAGGAGCACTTGGTGTCCCAGCCTCTGTTTGTCCCTTCTCCCCATGTTCCCCCCCAAACAGGGGCTCATGGGATTAGAAGCATGGCTAGGACGGGCCTATGTGGTCACTTAGCTCAATGCCCTCAATTTCACAGCACCAGAGCAACTCTGCCTCAGGCCCTTAAAGCTCACTGTCAATCCATGAGCTCTTCCAACATGTGGCCAATGGCCTCTGGCCTGCCTGTCCCCAAAGCCCCTGTAGGAAGCGACTGCCTGTCTGCACCTAGCCCAGAGATGCCAGGTCTGTTGTCCAAGGTCACATAGACTAGCCAGTGGTAAGGCAGGGTGAGACTGCACCATCTGGGTTCTGACGGGTCACCCAGTGAGTTTGTCCCTGCCACATATGTGCCCCAGGCCCGGGAAGAGGCCTCTGTGAGCCTGGGCCCCCTAAACTGGCCCTGGCCCACTTTTACATCTGAGTTTCCTGACCCTCATCCTCTGCTCCAGCTGAAAGGGTCCCCTCATCTTTCAATCTTTGTGGTCTCCTGGTCTAATCAAATTCCCCCACCACACACAGACACACACACACACACACACACACAGACACACACACACACACAGACACACACACACACACACACACACGCCTCTTTGTGGTCTCCTGGGCTAACCAAATCCCCCCACCACACACAGACACACCCGCCATGACCTCTAAAACATACTCTCCCAGCCTGCCTAGAGCTATGTCTATCAAATCCTGCTCACCCTTCAAATTCCACTCCCTGCAGGAAGCCCAGGCCTCTGGCTCAGGGGACACAGGCCACCACGCACCCCTCCTCAGGGTGCCCAGCCTATCAGGGGCTCTGAGCCTAGTCCCACCTCCCCAGGTGACAATCTAGAATTGGGTTCTCAGGCCTCAGAAGCCTCCACCTCCGTAAACGCAACAATTGGGTCATCTGTGGGGCACAGACCCTGGACTTAGTATCACAATGCAGCGTGTGGGGGTGGGAGAAGGAAAACTGGAAGTGACAGCCCCAGGGTGGGGAGCAGGAAACCCCCAGCAAGGTCAAAAGTCAGGCACACTCAGCCCCCATCACACACCACAGGCTCTCACGCTCGGGCGAGCATCAGTGTCACCTGGGAGTCAGGAAGCACTGCTCCAAATCATGTGCTATTTTTTACCAAAAAATCAGGATAACGTGTCAAATATAGACAGAGGCCCAGGACTGAAAGACCAAACTCCATCTCTGAGGGGATCAGGAAGCTCAAGAAATGGTAGTGGGGCAGAGAGTGGGGAGGGAGTTCCCTGACTTCGTCAGTGTCCCAAGAAACGCTGGAATCCCCAAAACCCGGCAGGATCCCAGATTGGAGGAGGAAAGGGACAGAGCAGGAAAGAACTCTTCAGATCCCAGCCCAGGGAAGGGGCTGGTTTGGGAGGGGAGCGGCCACCCACTTTTAACCTTCCAGGCCTCTTGCTGGGGGTGGGGTGGGGAAAGGACAGAGGGACTGAGGAACTGAGACTGTGGTTCTCTAGAGCTGGTGAGACGGAACTTGGGCAGCTTCAGTGTCCGTGAGTAGTTATGGAAACTACAAGGAAACAGATGCGGAGGTGGAAGGTGTTGTTGGAAGGCGTAAAGACTGGGCAAGGGGCTAAGGAAAGTCCAGGGGTTTGGACACCACCATCGGCAGGTTTGAGGCTGGGCAAAGCTTAGCCTGGGCAGTGAAAAAGAGCCAGCCCTCTAGGCTGTGTGTGCTAGCCAAGAGTGGAGAGTGCAGGGTGGGGAGCTGGGGTTCTTGGTTCTCCCCAGGGAATGTTGCACACACCCCTCCCCCTCAGTGCTCTTCTGAGGATCTCAAAGCACTAGCACAGCCCACAAACCAACCACCAATAGTCGTGGTGGGGGGTGGGGAGGAGGCAAACAGGAGCTCAAATGGGGCAGGCAGCTCAACCCCTCTGTCAGGGCACCCAGGGAATGTGGCAAGAACACTGGGGGCCTGCTTCAGCCAAGGCCATGGGAGTTTATCCCTGTTGAACAGCCATGTCCAAAGGCATGGCGGCCACTGCCAAGTGCCCTCAGACTTGTAGTGGGGCTCCCCATCCCCTCCTCTTCCATGCCGTAGAGATGGACTAGCCCCTTAGTGGGTCACACAAAGTGCCACTTCCTGTGGAACTGGGGACCTTGGTAGCTTGCCAGGCACTGACCCCCAGGGAACTGAGTCCCAGCCTAAACCTTTCCCCCACCCCCAGTCACATGGTCGCAGCTAAGCGAACACTGACAGACCTGCTTCCCTCTTTCACTTCTGCAAAGTTGGAGTGCGGGCTACAGGCAGGATGGAGGAAGGGCTGCAGTGCCCTGTGTGGTTCATCTTGGGAAGTTCCCAGCTCCCCTTGCTTCTCTCTCCTGCCTCTGTTCAGCCCCCCTCACCCTATCCAGCTCCCATCTGTAGGGGAAAACAAGGAGTGTTTCTAAGCTCCCCTGCCCCCTATGCGCCCAGAGTGGGGTAGGAAAAATGGGGTAGGACAAATG